AGCTCAGTGGAGAAACTGATCCAGTCTCTAGGCATCCACCAACTTGGAGACCCTCTCCAAGATAGATAGCCTGATTCTCTCCAGCCCACCATTTCAGCTTTAGAAAATCATGGAGCAGACTGGGCACAGTGGCTCACACCTATAATCCTAGCACTTTGGAATGCTGAAGTGAGTGGTCTGTGTGAGCCCACGCATTGAAGACCAGTCTCGGCCATTTGGTAAGGCCTCATGTCTACAATAAATGAAAAATTAGGCCAGGTAGAGTGGCTCAGACGTATAATCCCAGCACTTTGGGAAGCCGGAGGTGAGAGGATTACCTGAGTACACAGGTTCAAGATGAGGCTGGGCAACTTGGTAAGATCTCATCTCTACAATAAATCAAAAAAATAAGCTGGGCTCAGTGGCTCAGCCTGTAATCAAAGTGCTTTGCGAGGCAGAGGTGTGTAGATTGCCTGAGCCCACGGGTTCAAGCCCCACCTGGGTAACTTGGTGATTCCTCATCTCTGCAATAAATCAAAAATTAGCCAGGCATGGTAGTGAGCACCTGTAGCTCCAGCTACTTGGAAGGCTGAGGTGGAAGGATCGCTGGAGCCCAGCAGGTCGAGGCTGCAATGGCCGGAGCGGCCACTGCATTCCAGTCTGGGTGACAGAGACTTCAACTCAAAAAAAAAATGAAAAAAAGAAAAAAAATTAGCTGGGCTTTGTTGTATGGGCACATAGTTTTGCTACTTGGAAGGCTGAGGTGGAAGTCCAGTCGTTGGAGGCAGTGGTGGCCGGGAGCATGCCACTGCCCTACAGCCTGGGAGACAAGGTAGACTGACAAGAAAGAAAGAAAGAAAGAAAGAAAGAAAGAAAGAAAGAAAGAAAGAAAGAAAGAAAGAAAGAAAGAAAGAAAGAGAGAGAGAGAGAAAGAGAGAGAGAGAGAGAGAGAAAGAGAGAGAAAGAAAGAGAGAGGAAGGAAGGAAGGAAGGAAGGAAGGAAGGAAGGAAGGAAGGAAGGAAGGAAGGAAGGAAGGAAAGAACTAACTGTGCCTGTAGTTCCAACTACCTGGAAGGCTGAGGTAGAAACATCACCTAGTCCAACAGATTGAGGCTGTGATTGCCATGGATGCACTCCAACCTGGATGACAGAGTGAGATTTCAACTAAAAAAAAATGTGGCAGCACCCCTTAATTAGTAGCCATCCTCACCTGATGTCACCTGACTGGACTGATTCCCAAACTGAGGTACAATTGCAGGTAGGAGCTTCCACTGATTGCAGGGAAACTGGTAACTTTCCAGGGGCCTGGAGGCTCAGGTTTGGCCAGCATACATCTGTCTCAGAACAGACTGTGGCTGTTTGATGATTTCTTTCTTGAAATTTCATCCTAAAGCTCCCCATGCATCTGGAGATCAGGTGTCAATGGTTTGCATTGCAAAACTTTGAACAAGGATGCTGGGCTCCTGTATTATCCCAGATTCCCTGTGAGATTAGGAACACAGGACAACCTTGCCTTGCTATCCCACTGTGCCTCCAACACCAGGGCCTGCCCAGTCCTCAGTAAATGTTGAGATATCCTTCTCCCTTATGGTGACACCTACATATTAACTTTCTTATGAGACAGTGACCCACATGACCCAAAAGAAGTCAGGGCAGCACTCAGCAAGGCACCCCAAGCTCCACATAACTCCTCAGTCCTATGAAATCAGTGTCAACAAGGAAGCTGGACAGTGGAAGCCTTGGGACAGGAGGGTGAGTATGGCATTGTCAAAATTTCAGTCAGTCAACAATATGTCTTGTTCCTCATGCTGGCCAATCCATGTGACAGTGCCTTTCTTAAAGGGTACAAGTCTTACACCAGGGCCCAAACCTGGCCTTACCTGACCTCTGGGAGATCACTTGTACTAGGAATATCTAGGATGATCATACAGTGAACATGTGGCCCTTTCCAAAACTAGGATTTTGCTTAAGGCAGGGTAAGAACCCTAGGCATAGTGTGTGGGTTCCTGAGGCCCCCTCATATCCAGCAGGGCCAGATCAGTAATGTCACCAGGCTTGAAAAGCAAGCAGTCACCTCGCCTAAGGTGGGCAGAAACCCAAAGACCAGCCACCAACCTCATCCACTCAAGGAGGCAACGATGGCTGAACTTCTATTTCCTGAGTGGCCATTACCTGATCACCAATGAAGCAGAAGTCTGAGACCAAGCAGATGGCACTGGGGTATGATTTCAAGATACAATACTTGCTCTACATTATAGGAATGATGAAAATTGTGCAAGTGATGTCCCAGGAGGCCATGTTTCTGGGTTTGCCATACTTGGTTGGTTTCTTTCAAAGAGGAAATAGAAAATGTGACCTCATTTTTTGCAAGGATGCTCCAAGGTGGGGATCAGAGCTGCATGAGGGGGAAGACTTCCTGGCTATGCAGGAATAGGCCTTCACTGGATCCTCACAGTCTGTAGTCTGTCCCTTTTTATTCATATGTTTGCTTGGGATTCTTTTTGTTTGTTTATTTTTTTTTATTTGGAGTCTCATTCAGTCACCACGGCTGGAGTGCATCTCACGGCCACCCCAGCGTCAATCTGCTGGGCTCTGGTGATCCTTCCACCTCAACCTTCCAAGTATGCAGAACTGCAGATGACCACTACAATGCCTGGTTATTTTTTTTTTAATTTCTCTTGTAGAGATGATGTCTCACCAAATTGTCCGGGCTGGTCTCGAACCCATGGGCTCTGGCAGATTCTCCATTTTTTTGTTGAATCTGCAGGTTCTGAAAATCAGCCAGTTCCTTTTCTTATCTCATTTTGCTTTCAGGAGAAAAAAAAATCCTTCTATAAATGAATTTTCAGCAACCCCTTCAGCAGCCTGCTCTGTGGACAAGCACAGTGCTGTCTTTGTACAATAGTGTCCAGTTCTCTGCAAACTCATAGAAAAGAGTTCTTACAAAAGTGAACATCCAGATTTCTCCTAATGGATGGGGATGACTTGTTAGATCTGGCTCAGTAATGGCATCACCAGATCACAAACATTGTCCTTTGGAGGTTCTAGAGAATATGTCATTGGGAACCTGTTTTAGAAGCTCACCTGCTCCAGGGTCATTGAGTGCATAAAATGTGTCTTTAATTTTTTTTTTTTTTGAGTTGGAGTCTCACTCTGTCCCGCAGGCTGGAGTACAGTGGCACACTCCTAGCCATTGCAGCCTCGACCTCCTGGTCTCAAGTGATCCTTTAGACGCAGCCTTCCAAGTAGCCAGAACTAGTCGTGCACTACCACACTAGGCTAAATTTTTTGATTTATTGTAGAGACGAGGTCTTGCCAAGTTGCCCTGGTTGACTTTGAGGCCCCAGCTCAGGCAATCCACTCACCTCGGCCTCCGAAAGTGCTGGGATGACACCAAGCCTGGCCTAGAGTCTTTAATATTCTGATATGCAAGGAGATCATCTGAGTTTGTGGATTTCTCGCATTTGTGTATTCTCTCTTTTCTTACACTCTCCCTCCTTTTTTTTTTTTTTTTTT